TACCACACCTGGCTAATTTTTGATTTATTGTAGAGACAAGGGCTCGCCAAGTTGCCCAGGTGGGTCTCGAACCCGCGGGCTCAGACAATCCACTTGCCTCGGCCTCCCAAAGCGCTGTGATTATAGGCTGAGCCACTGAGCGCAGCCCCTTTTTAGTTTTTACCCAGGAGCTAAAGTTACTAGTGATTACCTCAGCTCCAGTGAAGTTCACAGACTACCACAGCTTCAGTGGAATTCGGAATTAATAGAAGAAACCTTTTAAATTTTCCTTAGCACCACTCAACCAATTAGAATAATAGCAGCTTTCATGGTCTATCACAGTAATCTATTGAGTTTAGGGGTCTAGTGAGTTCTGGACAGATGGACAGATGGGTGGGGTGGGTGGATGGGTGGGTGGGTGGATTAGTGGATGGATGGATAGTAAATGACTGAGTTGGTGAATGGGTAGATAAGTGGGTGAATGGATGGATAGGTGGGTGGATGAATAGGCAGATGAATGGATGGGTGGGTGGGCAAGTAGACAGACTGGGAGATGGATGATAAAACCAATATGTAAAGTCCCTGTACTTGGACCCATGGTAGCTTGGAACACAGCTGTGTTCTATTTCACTAATTTCAAGAAAGAAATGAAATCCTCCAAATGGAATCCATTTTGGCACAAAACATGAAAGAAACTAATTAGCAACTGATATTATGGGTTCATTCATTTAAAGAATGCTTTATTACTTATATAAAATTGATTTCATCTCTTCTTTTTGCCTCATTTTAATTCCAGATTGAGGAACAACTGACTTTGGAAAAACTGCATGAGTGGACCAAACCTGAGAATCTGGATATCATGGAAGTCAATGTCAGCTTGCCCAGGTTCAAACTGGAAGAGAGCTACACCCTCAACTCCGACCTAGCTCGCTTAGGTGTGCAGGATCTCTTTAACAGTAGCAAGGCCGATCTGTCTGGCATGTCAGGAGCCAGAGATATTTTTATATCAAAAATTGTCCATAAATCCTTTGTGGAAGTGAATGAAGAGGGAACAGAGGCGGCGGCTGCCACGGCAGGCATCGCCACCTACTGCATGTTGATGCCAGAGGAAAATTTCATAGCTGACCATCCATTCATTTTCTTTATTCAGGATATTTCCTCAAAGACCATGTTGTTCTTGGGCAGATTTTCTTCGCCATAGACTGTGGCAATACAAGATCAAGCTTAGAGTGTTATTACCTGAGTTTGTAATGGTGCCGGTTTTCACATATCTTTACCAATAGAACTACTATCCAGAAAAAAATCTTTTATCTCCTTTGCAAGTTCAGTCCTGTTGGCTTTTTTACATCCATGAATTTTGGCATGGGTCTCTATTTTTCTTTTTTTACATAGAAAAAAATCCAGTGATTGTTTTTGAATACATCAAGTTAAAGAATAAATCAGATGTGTAGATTCTTGATTACACAGTGATCTTTGAAATTGCTGTACTCTCCTGATAGCTATGGAAAAACATGGTAAGATGGTCATTTATTTTACAGTGAGAATTTTGGAAGCCATGATGGACAGACACCCTGACTATTAAAGGGAGGATTAAAAACAAGTATTCAGTTGAAATATTGGAGAGCACCTCATTTAAGGGCCTAGATTACGAGACAAACTTGCCTTGCTTGATGCTGCTGTCCCTTTGCTCTGCAGAATTAGTATTCTGTGACAGCCCTCTAGTTTTTAAACTCTTCAATTAATGGGCCACCTGGTCATAATCTGCATTCCTTGTTTTTGTTCTCCTTTATTTATAACACGTAGCTCATGTGGGATCACATGAAGTCAAGAAGTAGGTGTCTTATGGTAAAAGATGCCAAGAGATTACAAAAAAGAAAAATGTGGTAGGAGAAACTGCTGAGCAAACAGGGGTGCAAAGATTTCACTGTTAGCTAGCTGTCCTTGTGTGTTTTCTGATAAAGGCTCTTGACTTTCCTCATTGAAACAGTTTGTTATAGTAAAGAGATGACTTTGTGCAAGGCTGTGGTGGGAAATGGGAAGGGGCTCTTTGACTAATATAAACCTTTGTCAAAGGTAGTTCTTGAATGGGGCTTGAAATGCTGCATTTTCTTCCTCCCACAAGGCTAGTAGGCATCATGAATTAAAGTTTTCTAAAATTCTGCAAGCCAGACTGGTCTCAGGTCTCTTTTTGTTTCTCCCTGATCTCAGACAAGCCAAGACTACAAAAGGGAATTCTGTCTGACCATAGTAACGATAGATGCTTTCAGATTAAAAAAATTTTAGCAAATCTTTTGCTGGCAAGCTTTCCATTCTTTTTTTTTCTTAAAACATTTACTAGTACCTACCATATTCCGGGTTCCCTCACTTATAGGAAAAAAAGTAAAGCAGTAGTTACTTCCTTCTGTAACTCTTTTCCTCCTTATTCTAAAATCCACCCTGTAATTTAGAGTAAATCATGCTGATCATGAAACAACTGAGTTGCAGGGACTCAAGTGACCCTGCTTAAATTATATGAGGGAGACCTAAAAGAAACTAGAATTATTTTTTGGAGGGTGGGCCCTTTATACTGCAGGCTTCCCCTGCTAGGTTGGTGTTCTAGAACCCCATTGGCATCAGTGTACCAGCTAGCATTGTTGTGAGAGGCTGCATTCAGCTTCAGTGAAATTTTCTTGGAGATTCTTTCAACATGTTTGCCCATTTCATGATGGGTGTGACATGAGTGCACCTGTCCACACCGCACTGAGTGTTCAGCAGTTATTGACCAAAAGCAACATTTCCCCCATGCCCACCCTCCTTATTCATGCGATCTCACCTCTAGCAACTTCTTTTGTTTTCCCGAATGGAAAAAAAAGTCCTCAAAGGGAAATGTTTTGCTGATGTGGAAGAGGTGAAATAAAAAATGGCAGAAACACTAAAAGGCATCAAAATCAATGAGTTCAAAAACTGTCTTGATAGGTGTAATGGAGAGTACTTTGAAGCTGACTGAAGTTTAAACATGTAAGAATTTTTTAAAAAGTAAATAAATACACAACTTTTAATAAATAAATTCTGGGTTTTTTTGGGGGGGGTTCCCCCAAACAGGCTCACCAACCCTAAGTAAATTGTTAACGGTCAAAACAATTGGAAAATTCCAGAGAAGAAACTGAAATCCAATTTATATTTTATGTGGAGTGCATTTAATTCATGTAATGGTGAACTAGTTAACTTGGGCCTCTAAAGACAACTGTAAAATGAAATAAATAAGCATCAGCCAAAAGGCAAAGGAAGGCTAACATGATTGTAAGGATATGCTGGGCCAAGATCCAGGAGAAATTGGAAATGTAGAGAGCTGAATCTGGAAATTGGGTCCACTGCTACCGTAGGGTCATGGGTCAATCCAGAAGAGGAAAATGGGAAGTGGAGCATGGGTTTTGACAATCTTCAAGCCTGGGTAGACAGTGTTTGGGCCTGTCAGGAGTGGGGCTTCCATTGCACCTCCTCTGCTTTTGTTTGGCAACCTGAGAGGTATATATGCCCTACAAGTGTGAGTAAACCAGCTGAGAATGTAGTCTGGCTATAAGTCACTCACTACCCAGAAATTTCCAATCCCTGGAATTGGATGACATTAATCCTGGTTTGCTGTTACCCATAGATACATTGCAGAAGCAAACAAATATCATCTCTGGAAAAAAATTACCCATAAACCTCAAATTATGTTTATAATCAGCTTTTAAAATACAATAGTATATAATCAAAGACAGCTGGATAGGTGAGGAGCCATGACTACATAAATTAAAACCAGCACAAAAAATAGATAATAGAAACAGCAGTACAGGGGCTCCAAATATCAGAATGATCACACACAAACTACAAAACAACACTCTTGTCTATGATCAAGATGATAAAAAGCAAGGTTAAACATTTCATCAGGTTAAAAGAGACACTGACTATTTGAATAAAAATAAGACAGAATATCTAGAGCTAAAAAATATAATCGTAAACGAATTCAATAGATAAGATTTGACAGAATATTAGATAGCTAAACAGATAATTTCTGGATTTTAGGGTTCAAAGAAATTATAGTTTCTTGCAGAAAGACAAATTAATAAATAAAGCACTAAAAGGCAAAAGAATGGAAAATACAGAAAGAATTAGAGACCAAAGAAGTCAGTAAGAAGATGCTTAACAGGAGGAGAGACAATATGGGGTAGAATCATACTGAAAGAACTAACATCCAAAATGTTTCTAAAACTGATTTTAAAAGACATCAATTCACAGAGTCTAGAAACTCTACTCAAACTCCAAGCAGGAAAATACAAAGAAATTCATCTCTAGACACATCCTAGTGAAACTGCAGAAGTCCAAAGACTAACAGAAGATCATTAAAAAAACAAAAACAAAAAACAGTTAAAAGCAACCAAAGAAGAAAACAAAGTACCCTCCCAGGAACAGCAGCAGTTCCAATGACATCACACATATCAACAGAAACTAGAATGATTCATTCAGTTTGCTGGGAAAGACAGAACCAAAAAATCCTGACAACCTAGAATTATCCCATGCCCAGAAAAAGCATTCTTCAAGATATTTTCAGACAAACACAAACTGAGGGAGTTCACCATCAGCAAACTTCCCCTAAAAAAAATTCAAAAGAATATTCTTTATGAACAAGGAATGTCAGAGTTGTAGCAATAAATAAATAGCAAGAAAAATTTGTAAATATGGTACATTTAAGTGAATATTGACCATATAGAAGAGTAGCAATAATGTCTACAGAGTTTCAAATACATACAGAATAAAAATAAATAATAATATAGAAGTAAGGGAAAGAAATGGAGTTAAAGGTTCTAAGGTCCTTGCATTGTTTGGGAAGAGAATAAAGTATAATTACAGTAACATAAGATTTTGGCAAGTCAAGGATGCATGTTGTAATGTGAAACATCATTGCTAGAAGAACAGTAAAAAGATCTATAGCCTTTCAACTAAACCAAAGAGAAAAAAAGAATAACAATGAATACACAATCAATCCAAAAGAAAAAATAAAAAAGAGAAAACAATATATAGAACAGGCACAACAAATAACAAGATGGTATATTATATTGAAGTAATTACTTAACATGTAAATTAACTGTTTCAGTTAATGGTCAGGCTGTATTGAAAAAATACTATATGGTATCTGTGGAAAATATGTATAAAACACAAGAATAAAGACAGTTTGAAAGGAAAATAGTAGAAAAAGATATGCCATGTAAGCACTAACCATAAAAGTAGGTGTAGCTATATTAATATTAGGAAAAGCAGCTTTTCCTGTTTTAGAGATAACAACAAAAAAATTCAGCTCACTAGGAAAAATGCAACAATTCTAAATTTGAATGCAGTCAATAACATACCTTCAAAATAAAACAACAAAAATATAAATTAAAGGAGAAATTGATCTGCAATTTGAGAACAAGACAAGAATGTAAGTTATCATCACTTACTCAATAATTTAATGGAGATGTAGCTGATAGAGTAATTCAATAAATTAAGTATTAAAAAATTAATTAAGAAATTAAAAAATAAATAGAATATGTAATGATTTGAAAGGAAAAACAAACCTGACAATATTTGAGGTTATTTTCATGGAAATCTAAATTATTAGAATTTAAGTGAGTTAAGTAAGGTTGCTGGTTACAAGTTCAATTTACAAAGCTAATTTGTATTTCAAGGTAACATCAACTGTTAAAAATTTTTTAAAATATCATTTTTATTAACATAAAAAATATTCTTGTGCCTGAGAATAAACGCAACAAGTTGTTCAAGTTTTATGTTTTATAGTTTTATGTTCATTTGTACATAAAGCTATAAACATTACTGAGAAAAAATGAAAAAGATCTGAATAAATGAAGAGTTATACTATATTGTGATTCAATTTTAAATATGTCAATTGATCTATATAATCAATGCAATTCCAATCAAAAACACAACTTTTTGTTGTGTTGTGTCTTCTGTGAAATATGGCAAGTGGTTCTTGGTCATATAACTATCTAAAGGCCAAAATATCCAAGACAATCTGAAAGAAATCAGAAGAGAACATACCTAATTGAATCAAGACTTATCCTAAAGCTGCAGAAAAAAGATAGAGCAGTTTTGGTGCAAGAATGGTCAGAAATGGAACTGTTCAGAACAGAGAGCCTAGAGATAGCCCCACACAATATGAACTCTGCTTTACGACAGTAGAATCAACCTCCCAGTTTGTCTAAAACAGCCCATTTACATCTCTCGTCCTAATGCAACTATTAGCAACGCTCTCTTTCACTCTTAAACTTTAATCAATTTGGATAACAG